GAAATCATTCGACTTGAATGCAGATAATCCTTTGTCAAAATTTTATATGTCAAAACAAACCAACGTTAACGTCAAGACGTCAACAAAACGAAAATATAACCTCAATAAAACAAAAATAAAAACAAATCATATATATAAACTTAAGTTCAGTTGAAAAGGAACAATTAATTGAACCATAGAAATAAAGTTTTATAAATTTCTATTACCAACAGACAATATGGCGCTTGAAATCGTCAGCGCTATTTTATTTACTATAGTTTTAGCATTTCTTATACGAGTACTTTACCTTATTTATGAAATTACTATGGTAAACAAATGTGAACTTACAAGACCAAAATCACTACGAACTATCCTTTGCATCGGTTCCGGCGGCCATACGACAGAATTACTGAGATTAGTGAAGAACCTGAACAAGAGAAAATATCAACCGCGAGTCTATATTTTGGCTGATAATGATGTCAGTAGTGAGGTAAAGATTCATGAAACAGAGAAGGAACAAATTGACTACACCCTGTGCAGGATACCAAGAAGTCGAAATGTGCAACAGTCGTATTTTTCTTCAGTAATCAGCACTCTCTATGCTACTTTGTGCACACTACCTGTAATTTATAATTTCAAGCCAGATGTAATATTTTGTAATGGACCAGGAACTTGTATTCCAGTTTGTGTTGTAGCTTTCATTTTCAGATGTTTGTTCTTATTAGATTGTCGCATAGTATTTATAGAAAGTATTTGCAGAGTTCGAACTCTGTCATTGACTGGAAAAATACTTCAATTTTTTGCAGACATTGTTGTTGTACAGTGGCCCCAACTGAGGGATGTCTGTTTCAGAGCAAAATATTTTGGTAGACTAACATAGATATTTTTTTCTTTGTAATTGGTAGTTTCACTTTTAAGTAGGTATATGTATAAAGATTGATATTTAAATAAATATAATTGTAATATTTCCATGCTTGATGTTACTCTTTTACTATTTGCCCAGTATGTAGCTGATAAATCAATTGGAACTTTGAAGTGTCTGAATGTGAATGCATTTTGGCATTTTCATGGGTATTGAAAATGGATTTATAAATAAGGGAAACAATTGGATAACTTTAAAAAGTGTATAATTAATAGCTCTAGGGAGATCAGTACACAAATATTTGGGAGAATTTTAGTCACAAAGTGAAAACAATATCAATTTATTGCCATTTCATGTTCTAGCCACTGATTTTCTTTTGCATTACAAAACTATTTTTATTATAGTGGCAAAATACAATCAAACCTTGCAATATGAATTAAATTATCCTGTCTTACAAAACAGATTCTATTGATAAATGAAAGAAAATCCCTGAAGCTTTAAAAACTATTCTTAACAACACAAGAAGCAATTTACAATAACAATTTGTTACAAACTACAACAGAACTGTGCTTACTTCATGGTATTTCACAACATGAAATACAATTATTTTCAACATCTTGTGGACATTATAGCAATGTTGATGTATACAGCATTATCATCTACATTGCAACTGTTTTCACATGCAATGGTTGTGGATCAGTAATTCTATAAAAATAGTATTGGACTTCTTCAATGGCTGGATTTTAGAGTTCATATCCTGTGCAAAAGATTCTAACAATTATGCAATTATCATTAATTCCAAAATACCACTGTTTGTGTATATTTTTTATATTGACCCTATTTGTTCTAATCTACAACTACCTATGTCAAATCTACATCCCACCTAAAAAATTGCAAAGAGCACTTGCTACAAAAGGCACATATTTTTCTCAGAACAAAGGCCATGTTTAACCTTTAATAAAAAGAACACTTTAGTTAAGTCTTTTAAGTACTAATTTTTCTTAGCATGAAATTAAATAGCCTTGACTGAAATAAATGACCTTATTATTGTATAAACACTAAAATGGTTGACAAAATGGAAGGTAAATATTTGAGTTCAGTAAATACTGCAAAATGCTTCATTTATTTTATAAACTAGCAACTTCTGCTGAAAAATCACAGGAATGGAAGTTAATCTGTTCTACATTTTTAATGTTTGCCAGTCTGAACATCGGGCATACAAAGATAACTTGAACTTTTTATCTAAATATCAAACAAACTTCAAGTATATCATGCTATGCCCACAATCTTTGGCAGTAATTTTAAAACTTTATCTTTTATCAGATCATGGGGTTTCTGGCAACATTACTAATATAAATGCATCAGTCTTCATATCAATCATTAGTAACATTGCAGAATGTGTAATGCAATAATAGTGGAGCCAATAACTACATGAATAACTTTCTCCCTAGCTCATTACACTGGATGTAAGCTCCTTACATAAAATTATGGTTTTCACAAATTACCATTTTAAAGAAAATAAATTGCGTTTTTGGATTAGACACACTTTACAGAGTAGAAAGAACTGATACATAAAGTATCTTGTCACACTAGAATGCCACAATATGAGACTGTCAAAGTGCTATGATGAAATAATACTATGTATATTCACATTAGTTTCTTATTTGTGACAATAACTACATATAACATTTCATAATTCTAATTATTTTTTCCTTGTTACATAATATCATTTATATTTCACATTCAAGTGTATGTATTTCATGTCATTATTGTTCCAAACAAGCAATAATGTTTTTTCATACAAACAGATCTAAAATCATCTCTCATTACACAAAGAGATCAGCTCATAGCAAATGGCAGTCAACACATCATAAGTTCATAAGTTTATCTTAAGCTAGTTATTAAATTACAGATACCCTTTACATTGAGAGATATATATAACAATATTGCTAACAAATCAATATTTTAGGCACGTCCGAGAAATACTATATTAATAGTAAGTGACTATGTATCTAAAAATATAAGTACAAAAGGAAGAATTAAGTTTTTCTTACATATCTAATTAATAAACAAGTACACTTAAGTATTATTCTCATCGTTCATGGTTTGCTATCATCCAAGTTGCTACTAGATGTTTGATTACTAGTTTCTTGTTTGGCACTGTCATCGTTTTTGTTATCATTTCGTAACTTTTCATCATCAATGAGATACATTGCTTCGTCATATGTTGGGGGTGGAGGTTCGGAGCTCGAAGGTTGAGGTTTACTAGTGGCAGCATTTCCTATTAAGGCGTCATAAGAAGGTGGTAATGTTGCACTAGATGCAGTACGAGGTACTTGACCACTGTAGGCTTGTTCGGCTTGGACTGCTGCCATATCCTATGAAAAAGAAAAATAAATTATAAATGTTTCCCAGGTAATTAACACTTTCTCCAATGATAATGTTAAACACACACAATTATCTTTTATTTAATTATTTAGTCCATCTTGGGTATTAGCGTCTTAGTTTTATCTCATATCAAACAGTTCAGTCAGTAGTTCAAGGTGAGTAATAAATAAATATTTATTCTTGATTATCTGATTTATAATGGTTTAACACTTAATTAGTTTATACACTCTGTATATCATTTGTACTGAAATGTCAGATATATTTAGTTAACTGTTTAACATAATAAATATGAAATGCTTCAGTAAATCTAACTGTATTGCAAAAAATTTACACAGCTCTAATTGTCTTAATCAAATTTGTGTTGTGGCCTAGTAAGTAGTGTTATGTATGTACATAACAGTTGAAGCATGTATGTCCCATTTACACGTTACACCAGTCAGATGGAAAAGATATAAGATAAATTGCATTATTATTTAAAAAAACAGACTTTTTTCGCATTCTACAGACTAGATTAGCAAAAATAATATCTTTTACTTTTCAATAATACATAAATATACTTTTTTTAGACTATGAATTCAATAGACAGTTTATATAATGTTGTTTGACAACATAAACACTAATGAAAATACCACGCAGTCGTAAAAAAATACATTACTTTGTTATGGTATTGAGTAATTCAACCTAGTGCAACTTAATTATAATAATAATTGACTCACCCTGATTATAGCCCGCTGATGAAGCAACATTTGAATCACGCTTTTTCTCCGTAAATACAACATACTTTTCACGGCAACCATCATACCAGAACATATAAAAATTGGACCCACTAGCCACATGTGTCCCAGATTACTCAGAATATAGCCATCAGCGTCTCCCAGAGCTAACACTGTTATCATAGTGCCCACCGAAAATAACACCATTGAAAGCACAAAATAAGAATAGCTCGTGCAGTCACATCGCCCAAATCTTTGATCTTCATCGAAATCATAATCACGACGCCTCAGTCTATGTAAACGTTGTCGAATGAAAGGGCTATCGAACACGGTAGCCATTTTTTTTAGTATATTTAGGCACACTTTTCACATTCAACACATATTCTGTATTCGATATAACAATTTAGAAAAACTACGTGGATATCACTTTCTTACTTTGGAAAGTGTGTGGAAAATAGCTATGCAAACTTTATGAAAAACAAGTCTGCCACAATCTTCGTTCTTAGCAATAGACTATAGAACACAATAGTGAGGGGAGCATATATTTACACAGATAATAAATAGCCGGCCCGGCCGGAATTAGGTAACCAGTCATTAGTCAGTCATTACGTTATTAGAGTCATTAATAAATTAATGCAATATTTAAAAGAATTAAAAGTAACTAAAAGTACATTATGTACATTAATTTCAAGAGAAAACTGGTTTTATTAGGTAAATCTGTGTTAGAATCAATAACGAGTTATTCTTAATAGTCGATTATTGAGTTTTGTAAATGTAAAATGGTCTATAGTCTATCCCTCAATATGACATTTCTTGGCAAAACAGAGACGGTCTGTCAGAGTCAAATCGAGACTGTCAAGAAAAGTCAAATTGTCAATGAAACGCAAACGTACATGTTTTTGTGACGACGTACATTTTCATTATTAACTATAATTTGTTGCAAAAATTTTACTTGCTTTTGCTTGTTGCATTACGAGTAGTTCAAGAAGTTTCTTTAGAATTTAAATGGGTTGCTATGTTCTCTGAGTGATTTTTAAGTGGTGATTATTTCGTCCGATATGGGTCCTTTCATTTTATTTATCGTGGCATTTATCTTAGAAACGGGTACATAACATGTTGTGTTATTTTCGTATGAATATGATACTGTTAAATGGTTTATTGTTTACAATAATATATTTGGCTTTGTAGGTGTGTCAGCAATAGAGGTGACTTTGTCAGACAATGGGCCTGCGGTCCGAGGTGCTGCTGTAACATTTACAGCTAATATAACATCGGATTACACAGGGGAAAAATTAAAATTCGTGTTTACTGACAGTGCGACACCACAACATAGTAAAGAGGTAAGCATTCAATTATATTTGGGTTATAAAGTAACATAACAACAAAGTCGCAATATAACAACAAAAATATTGCTTAGGATTCTTTCAAAAAAAATAAAATAAATAAATGCGTTCTTAATTTGATTTAAAGATGAAAACGTTAATGATCCATTGTTTTGACATATAAGAGTACACTTTATTTATATTATGTAGTCTAAATGAAGTAACTATAGTCAGAATTTTAATTAGATTCCAGATTTGACAATAGCTACTGTCATTTTGTGAAATAATGATACCACATATAATAGTGTAGTGATGCACACAAAAATCGATAAACAATCAGTGTGTGTGTTTTATAATAAATGTTACAGAAAGTGACAGGATAGCGATGACGGCGACAATTTATAAAATAACTTATTACCATTATACATCTATCTGTTTTATTTGTCATGTTCCTTCATGATTACATTTTTTTATTTATTTCACACACAATTATAAAAGAAACGTCTCAGATCGTTAATTAATCGTCAAAACTAAATTATCAGTTCAGAAATATTTAATTTCCTAAAATACTTAGTTCACGAGAGTAAAATTATTATTATTATAAACGAGAAGAATCGATCCAGAAATATTCCATTTCCATATCGAATAATTTCGCAACGTCACTATTTAGTACTTGTCATAACGTTGCCACACTGAAATTGTCAAATCTGGAATCGAATTAAAATTCCGAGTATAGTTATCAAAATACTGATTGTTCTCATATTGAATAACTGTGGTATATTTTTATACCAGACAATTACATACTTCCTTCCTTTTCAATGTATTAAAATGTATTATCAAACATTTATACATTTTATAATCTATAGCACTTTAAAAAGATTAGCTGGATTACACTAATTATGACCAATCAAGTAAAGGAAACATTATCAATGGATTTGTTTACTTTTTTCACCTTGAGAAATAAACACATGTCATTTAATTACAAAGATGTTTCTAGTAGGAGTATTTAGTTATTTCTGTAAATTACATTTCCATAGACCTATCTACCTACTTTAAACAGTGATCTTCAAGTTCTATGTGAAGTGTGAGGTAAGTGCAAACCCTATTATGTAGAGGAATTAATTTTCCAACAGTAGACACCACAATCTGTTAATAGTTTAGTTTCTTCTCTTTCAAATTACCTACTTAAAACTTTATCTGAAGCTTTCAATCCCCAAGCGGTCACTGATGACTGGTCTCCACTAACTCATTATAGACCTTATTTCCGATGTTTAGAGACTACTTTTGTACAATCAAAATTTTGGTATGATATATCAAAGTATTAATGTAGTTATAATAATATAATAGGCTTTTAAGTAGTTAATCCTTTTTAAAAATTGTTTTCAATAAAAGTGTTTGGTACCCACTTATTAACCACACCATGTCATGCCGTTTTAAGATTTGATTATTATTTTATTACACAACTAGCTTTTGCCCGCGACTACGTACGCGCAAACCCGTTTTCTCCCGTTCCCGTAAGATTTTCAGCATTTTTTCTGTCGTAAGAATCTTCTCCTGACAATAACAAACACAACAAAAAAAAGGTCAGCCATATTGGTCTAGCGTTCTCAAGTTATGGCGGGACAACGGGAAACGGGTTTCATTTTTATATATAGATTACTGTAAAATACAGATTGAAAGTTCAGTTGATGTATACTTGCTTACTTCAATTTTCCTACATTGTTTTCCTGTAGGCCAACTATTATATACATTTTTATATTTATTACATTGTCTGTGTAGTTAAATATTTTTACCTCAATAACAAATCAAAGCATTTATGAAACAAACTTATTACCCAGTGCCTTAATAAAATGTGAATGTACAATGATAACACAAATAAATGATCAAGGAGTTTTCATAGATCAGATGTAGCATAACATAATGGTTCATTTTTTAATCTCCAAAGAAATTAAGTTACAATATAAAACCTACTTTAAAAAAATCATGTTCATGTCTTATTTAGTAGGTAGTGGTATATAAGTCAGAATATGGAAGATTGTCCACTTCAGTACTTTTTTTATACTTGATAGGTCGATGTTAGGCCACCAGCTAGTATTAAATTTGAGAGAGTGAAGCAGGACATGCTTTTTTAAGCGGTTTTTTTTAATGTTATGTCTAAAACTCTTTATCACTAGTCAGTTCAGTATTGCATGGTCGGTCTTCATTATTCAACTGCAGACGTTTTTGCAGTAAACATTGAATTTATTCTCAATTATCCTTATATAATTGGTATATATAAGGTACTTTTCCGTTTATACTACAGTCGTTGAACTGTTGCTGTAGTCAGCCTTGAGTGGTATATCACATGAACACAGGATGTCGGCTGATACAGACATGCCACGTGTATTTGAGTCATTGTCACTAAATTGGGCTATCATTATTCTGGTTTTAATTGCGTCTCTTTTTAGTCAACTAAACTCTCCTTTTGTCTAAGTTGAATTTGGTACTTTTCTTAATCAAAAATAAATTATTTCGACTGTTCAATACACTAAAATATTAAAAAATAATAACACTTTCATTAATTGATTTTATTACAACTTAATTTTAGTATTTTTCCAGCTAATTTTTAAGAAGTACTCTGTTTTCTCGCATTCACAATCTCGTACAAAATTCATAGAATACTGTCGTTTTTTGACAGTTAAAAAAAAGTATTGAATTTTACTTGTTGTCAAATATCGTATTATTCAGATTTTCTAGTTAATTGGTTTATTTATGAAGCAGGTTTTGTCATCTTTGAAATAGCCTATATTCTTTACTACTTTACTAGCAACTCCTGCGCAGCTTTACTCTGTGTTCGGCTTCTAATGATCGTAGTGTGAAATTTATGGTCTATGACTTTTCTTAATAAATGGACAAAATTAATGAATTCGAACCAGTAGGTCTTCAGCCGTATAGATAATCATTCAATTAAATGTTGTCATGGCCCGGAGGTCTAAGACGCTCGCTTCTCGTGCATGAGTATGCGGCTTCAAAACCTACCAACAGCAAGTACCAATGTGACTTTTCCGAGTTACCTATATGAATTTCTAAGATTATTTAGACACTGACAAACGGTGAAGGAAAACAGGTGACGAAACCTGAACTTATAATTTCTAATTATAAGTTTGAAATCACCAACCCGCATTTAGCAAGCGTTTGAAATGCTCAAACATTCTCTGTGTGAGAAAGGTCTTTGGTCAGTGGTGGCCACTCATGGTTGTTGATGATGATGAATCAATTAAAATAAGTACTAAAGATCGAATAGCATTCAGTTATGTGTACTAGTTTTAATTTGATTGTAAAATCATTCTTAGGTATACATGTTTAGTATTTCATTATGTTTTAGTAATTTAAGCCTTTGACTGCCGACAGGAAACTACTGAAGGCAAATCCTCCGGTAACGTAGGTCACCGGTGACTACGCGGCGTTAACGTGTTAAAGTTGCTTTAACCGACTATCTGCATTATTCTGCATGCTAAAGGGATGCATACATAGACCTTGCGAATAGAATCGAAACTATTGCCGCAAGCCTCCGGCCTGATGAAACTGAAAGTCGTCAAAGGAACGGAATAATTATGTTTAGTAGTACCTAGGTCAGGGATTGCGAACCATTGGCACGTGCGCCGTTGATGGTACGGAACACAAAATTTTGCACTCGACAGTAACTACAAAACTGATGAATGATCATAAACCGACAACGCATTTGTGGTGTCTTTAGTATTGCAGGTGTAGTTATACTGCAGTGACAGTTTACCAGGCCAACTGTAAACTTTATTGCTGCTGAGTTACAGTAGATAGTAAAAATCAGTCGATGGCGCACAAAAACCGTAACACTTTGCTTCAAAGTACGTCAGTGTGTAAAGGTTCGCCATCGGGATAGCGAGCGACTACTAAGACTTTCTAAGAACGCGATATACCTAAGCCAGGGGGCTTAGGTATAGAAAGTTAAATACTGTGACTAAAATTATTCGCGTCGCATTAGTGTCTGAACTTTGGTCTTTTTGGTAATTACTACACTTACTTCTATATTATCCCATAATGTTTGGATTTTTTAAGGAAGTTACGATATTGCCAGACTGCCTCGTTGGCCGAGTGGTCGCAAGTGTGACTGCAAGGGGTCGCGCGTTTGATTCCCGGGTCGGGCCAAGGATTACTGGGTTTTAAAAAAAAATCTCAGTAGTAGCACGGAGCCTGAAAATGTGCCCGGTATATGGCAATAGGTTCACCCCCTGTTATATAGGACTCATAGCATAAATAGTGAAAAGTGGAGTTACATTGTACAATGGCATGTGCACCGTAATGTGCATCTCTGCCTACCTCCTCGGGGAGAAAAAGCGTGATGTTATGATATGTTTTTTTTACATGTAGATAGATACACCTATAGTTCTATATTTACTAAAGTCATCATCGTCATTCCCATACTTTAAATTACTTGGGGTCATATTTTCTTCTTCCTCTGTAAAGTACATGTTTTGTTTGGTAAACTAACGAATTAATTATGAAGTTCCTATTTCTAGTACAGCCATTAATTTGTATCCATGTTCCATACTCATATAAACGGTTTCATAATGTTATGTAATCGTCAGGAAAACTATGTTATCAACTTATCTAAAACGATAGAATATCTTTAAAACTACGCAACGGATTTTGATGCGGTTTTTTTAATAGATAGAGTGATTCTTAAGGAAGGATTATATGTATAATACACGCATATTGCACCCTTGCGAAGCCGGGGTGGGTCGCTATTTAGTATGTAATATTTTACATTAGGGCTTCTACAAATATCTAGTCCCTATGTTTCGAATCTGCAGTTACCACATCTGCAGATGAATCAGGGTTACACACGCAAAGCCATAGGCAAAGCTATCATAATACACGCGATGCATGACTAACTATTAATGTGGCGATAAGCGCGAATTAAAAATTCCAATAACATGTAAAATGTCAACTTGGTTTTTCGAATTTCAAATGATGTGTTCTTAACTTTGTCGGTCTTTTCATACGCTTTCGTGCATAATAGGAGTCTTTCTCGTCTTCGTTCGTTCTTTTTTGTTTCGTATTTCTAAAAGGATATAATGCAAAGTGTTAACCATCGCCAACCTTCTCAAACCAATGAGCCAACCTTCGCCAACCTTCTCAAATCTTCTCCGTGTGAGAAGATACCTTTACTCAGCAGTGGGCACTTAGAGGCTGTTGATGACAATGATTATAATCAATCACCAACGCAAACGGCGACCAATTGCTATAGCAAACTGCGACCTATCCCTGGGTGCTATAAAAAAACCTGAACTGGAACTGCAAAAATGATCTAGTTTTAATCCCGTACCTACCATAAATAGGGTAGTTTCCTAAATTTTATTTTAATATCCGTCTGGTAGATTAATTTAAAACTTTAGACACGTATTTTTCCGTTTCTCACAAAATTAAACACTTTCGACGATATATTAATTTGAAATATCGTGTGACGTCACAGCGTGCCACATTTTGTAGCACGTTATGACGTAACAACCTCCCACTCCTAAACTTAGCGCCATTTTATCTAAGTATTGCAACTTAATACGAAAAAATAAAAAAACGTGTCTAATATTTTTTCATTGTCTAACTGACAGACTAATTAGATTTTTAATTTTGATACCCTGGAAACTACCGAATTATATGTTACAAATTGTTAGACCAGATGATAACAATTTGCTCAAAAAAGTAATAAAGTCCCAAGCTCAATCATAAAATTCTGTTTCAGATTATTAGCCCGGATCGAACGGTCAACTTCACAGTCGAATATTACCGAGACATCTACGAAGCGAACCAGTACGTAGTTAATTTGGAAGTGAAGAAATATTATTTTGAAAGCCTATGGTGGACTGTCGCAACTGCTTTCACGGCGTTTAATCTAACAGGTATGTGTATTATAGTAATAATAATAATGGGTTATCCCTGAAAGCCTCGACATCCATCTCAGGAGGCTGGCGTAAGGTGGATGGATCAAGGGCCTGATACAGAAGGCAGTTCTCCTAGAAACGGCACGTATCGTGAGGAGGTTTCTGTCTCTGGAGCCCTAACCACCGGTAGCTTGGACAATGCTCCCGCTACTGGTCGGCTCCTATTTTTTATATTTTTAAATATTATTTTTTATTGTGTACTTAGTATTTCAAAATGTAATTTATAGAGGAATGTTAAATAAATATATGAAAATAATGTCCCTACTTAAACTGAATTGCGAACTGCAGAAGATTCCATCCCCTTCAGGCTTATCATGATTCGATTGGATGGCATTCCGATGCTGACACAACTGGTGGAAGTTCAGTATCTAGCTAGGCCAATTGTTTAACCTGCATTGAACAGGGACGAAATACAAGTGACTTTTCAGTCTCCTGTCTACTAATGGCCCAACCCGGGGTTAATCTTCGAGATTACTAATACGCATAACAGCGGTGACTAAACCCAATTTACAAGACCTCATATCATTGGTGACTACACTAACGAGTCAGTTGAAAGCAGTGAATATACAATGTACTGATATTATAATAAGTAGGTATATTGAACATTATCAGTGTTACGGTATCTTTAGTTAATATTTAATCATGACTAGTTAGATAGGTAAATGCATATATTGCAATCGACTATGTAAACACAGGAAAGTATTTGTTCGATAAACCGTTGCATAGTCAAATTAAATGCACATCACTGCGTTATGTCTTTTTAAAGATATAACATAACATCGAGCCTTTTTATCCCCGAAGGGGTAGGCAGAGGTGCACATTTCGGCACTTAATGCCACTGTACAATGTAACATCCACTTTTCAATATTTATGTTATGAGTCCATGTAATAGGGGGTGAGCCTATTATCATATACCGGGCCATTTCCAGACTCCGTGCTACTACTGAGATTTTTAAAAACCCAGTAATACTTAGCCCGACCCGGGAATCGAACCCGAGACCCCTTGCCCGGCAGTCGCACTTGCGACTACTTGGCCAACGAGGCAGTTTAAAGATATATTTTATTTTTATTAATAAGTTATTTATAAATTAATTGCCGATATTAAAAACAATATGAATCAATCATTGTTATTTTAACGCACCGATAAAAGGTTGTTCAACTAAAGGTCATCGCAACACCACGCACGCCTCCGGCATGGCTTCAACCCAGCAATTTACTTGGTATATAAATATGAACTTTAAATCGTATGTCGTATGACATATTTCATAACGTCAACAAAAAACATGTAAGAGCGCCGCTCGCACGCCGGGTGCGCACATACAACCTTTTTGTGCTGTTTTCAAAGCGAACAATGTCGTGCCGCAACCGTGCTTAAGCCGTGTTGGAGCCGTGCTTGTTAGGTCTATAATGACCTTAAAACGGTTTCCAGCTAGATGTTGATAATGCTCTTGAATTCGTCTGCATTATTAATTAAGATTCGTTCTTCAATTGTAATCGTTGTGGATTGCGTGATACATACATAACGTATCATAATGTAGACAATTTCTGCTAAGTGCTTAGTTAATTCGTTTGATTTATGAAGGACTAAGAAGGATGTTAGTAGAACAATTACATTTTGCCATTTAGAAACGAGTAACATAATCTACCGACGGAGAACTAAAGTTACCGATATAGCCCAACGAATTAGCAAACTGAAATGGCAGTGGGCCGGTCACATCTGTCAAGGAACTGATGACCGTTAGGGTAGGTGTTCTGGAGCGGAGATCGCGTCTAGGCAAACGTGGTGTAGGACTAGACTCCAGCTAGGTGGAGCGCAAAGTGGCTGGTCTGGTAGTGATTGGATGCGTAGAGCTGAAGATAGAGCTCAGTGGCGAACCATTAGAGAGGTCTATGTCCAGCAGTGGACGAGAACAAGCTGTTAATGATTACGAACATAATCTAGTTTAGATTCTAATGCTAAGCATTAATAAAGTCCCATTTAGATTAAGATTTAATTGTTCAACGCCTCTGTAAATTGTCTTTGGCCCATCGTACGCCTTCCAAAGGCCCTGTGGTACTGTGAACGAAAAGAGAACACTAATAGTTCAGCAGAAAAATATCTAAGCTATCTAAATTCATTACTTATTACCTTGAAAAACTACAGAGTTATTTAGATTGTAGTAAAGTAATATAATATTAGGATATGTAACAAAATCGGTGACCAGACCTCTTGCCTGGCAAGATAGTGGCAATGTCAATGTCAATCAATAATATACACCACAATCATGTTGTTGATAAACGTCAAAATGTATGTATATACATGTTTGTATATGTATAATAATGTTGTATAATATTTCCTAGAATATTTAGTGTAGTTAGACTGAACTAGTCCCGTTCTCCAAAATGGGTAAACGTGAAAGTTGGGCAAAATTTTTTTATTGAGCCCCTCACACATTTTGTACACGCCAGGACCGATAGTACAGATCAATCACAATAATAGGTACCCGATGCGCCCAGGTATACGAATGGACGAACTATTAAATCTTCGAGAATCAGGAATAGGAAAGAGCTTATACTTTCCTAAAATCCACCAAAATATTGCAGAACTTATAGTTATCTAGTTTACTCCAAAATAAAAAGCAGATGACTATAAATCACACATGTGACTCCTCGGGGAAATATGTGGATGTGGAGTATTGGATATGTCAAGGCTCAGTATGAACCGGGTTATTAGACTTCGAAGTGATCCAATTAACACAACCGGGATAATCCTACAGGACCTCGTTATTTTAGGAAATCGATACGTGTCGTGGGTCGCGGTTACCGAGCGCCGTCTATGCGTAAGGATCAAGTAACGTTATTTCGTGTTCATATACCGTACACCAGGGATGACAAACCTTTACTTTCAATGTGTCATTTTTCTAAAAAAATGTTTGTAAATGACGTCATAAATGTGTCCTTAAATTATTAAGCCTGTTTGTAGATCATCGTTAGCAAACAAAGCTTTAAGGGGGCTTCCCTTATGACCACAGCTTAAGAACACCTGAAACTGCCTCGTTGACCGAGTGGTTGCGGGTTCGATTCTAAAACGGGTTTTTTAAAAAAAAAAACTCAGTAGTAGCACGGAGTTTGGAATTGTGCCCGGTATATTGCAATAGGCTCACCTATTAGATGAGACTCATAACATAAATAGTGAAAAGCGGGTGTTACATTGCATTGTACAGTGCCATAATGTGCACCTCTGCCTAACTCTTCGGGGATAAACGCGTGTTGTTATTTTATGTTATGTTAAGAAACATCACACCTGCGTTTCCGTTTATTGTGATCAATGACGTGCCCAAATTATTGAATTGCGTCCCATCAATGACACTGGTATCAATGGTCAATGGTTTGCCGGTCGTGGCAGACGTGCCAGTGGTTCTATATCCCTGCGGTAGACTCAAGTAACATAAGATAAATTGCGAAAGACACTAGACAATGTTTCTCTAATAAACTGCTATGTAGTTATTTATTTGACGTCTTACACATTGACATTGCGGTTTGCGCCTGAAAGAAATAAATGTCTAATAAGATGAGATTAAATTGATTTATTAATGATATAAACCGTTTTAGTAAAGATGCTGGCCTTTATAAATTTTCTTGTTGGATTTTGTAGTTGAATGCATTCTTTTGACCTGTTGGTATACAACTTAATTTACTTGTTAAGTGCCGTTGCATACGCACTGGGTATCCAGCGGAGAATTGTATAGCTATCTACGTTAGCTGTACGTATGAAACGTACAGGTTCTAATACTATATTTGCAGCCTTTTATCCACCATCGGCCAGTCGTCATCGAAAAGGCGTCATCGTAAATTAGCATTTACAAACTAAACTTCATATTATACGGATGTCCATGGGCTGCGCTGATTGCTTACCATCAGGTGATCCATCTGCTCGTTTGCCTCCTACTTCATAAAAGAAAAATGGCTAAGCCCCCAAAAGGCAGCGCATTTGTAACTCTTCTGGCGTTGCAGATGTCAATAGACAGCGTCGATTGTTTACCATGAGATGATCCATCTGCCCCTACAAAAGAATCGTGACAATGATTCCTACAAACAGTCCGATGTTTGATATTTTACCAAAACATGCGGAAGTTATGTACCAGTTACGGTAACATTGCTTTAAGTAGGGAGTTGAGAGAGAATTGTTTGAATTGAGCGAGTGTCGTGTATCATGTAACACGTCGCACATTCACTTTCTTTATTGAACGTCTAACCTAGATAGATAGTTCCGCTGTAAAGACTACCTTTCGGTTGAAATACAACCTCTTTTGTAGGTTTTTTTTTTTAAATATGCTGTTATTGCCTCTTTTATTGTATCATTTTATTGTTTGAGTAAACCTACAACGATTACGCTGTTAAGTCAATAAGCAGGAAATGCTGTGAGCACAGCTATTTAAAAAAAATAAGTTTATTTTTCAATCAGTTATTGTCGTTTTATAACTAGCTTTGCACACGCAGCTTCGTCCACATGGTCGATACCATAATAAATTGTTTACCATCCTCAGAAATCACACTACCTATTAATGAGAACCCTCACAAAAATCCGTCTCATAGTTTTTGAGTATCGCGTCATGCAGGCAGACGTGATACGAGGATGCCGCGGAGGACTTAACGGGTTGCCGGGGCTCAGTTTCGAAGCTTCTGTTTTTGCAGGAGTAGGAACGGGGTGGCTTTTAGTCAGTAAGAGACTGACACTCCCTCTCGCATCACCGGGGCGGGAGTAGTCATTAGATGATTTTCCCCCTTAAAAACAAGGTCGTGATATGGGACTGATGGAGAGTTTTTTTTAATTAAAATAATTATATATGAATGTCTGCATTATCTACATTCTTTTTAGGTAGGTCTGCTGTAAGTCTGTATTCGTAAAACAGAATCCTCTAAATTTTCTACCAAGTTAGGCAAAATAAGTTATTATTATTAGGATTTTAGATGCCTACGTAAACTCTCGCTAGTTTGCCCTATTTATACTATTTATAGTAAATAATAATAATTGTTTCCTAGTCCATGGAACTAATAATAAACAATATAACTAAAGAATAGGTACCTACTTATTTCAACATACCATGACGTCTCACATGTATATGTGTCATTGTATATGTATATTCATATTATGAAGTTTTTCCAATACCTAAATAATTTATTAACATCTTCCTTTATTGCTACCACCGACCACGTACGCACTCGTTGAAATATTTCTCTATGTAGGTCGTATGGTAGGTAACTATATAATATGCAATGAAGACAGTATTATATCCTTCTGTTAACACTAACATACACATACTGACTTTATAGTCTTTATACTATCTTTATATACTGACTTTCGTACTCTTAACTGAATTTAACAAGTAAAATAAATGAGGTTTATAGACATTTAAAAGAGATATAGCTACTTAATTTATATCAAAATATTTATTTCCATATACTTAACCTAATTTAATTTAGAATGTTATTTTTAAAAGATATATAGCTAGTTAATTTATATCAAAATGTTTATATATTTCCATATAAGTACCTAATTTAATTTAGAATGTTTTTTTTGTTATTTTTCACTTATTCGAAAAAGATCCGCCCCCTTGTTAACTAACAAGCAATGTTGTCAATACTTTAATAACAGTTCATACAATGACGCATCTACTGAGTTTAAAAAATGAGTATACAATAAGTAGTGATAATAAAAACAAACATACATACATACATAACTTCACGCCTGTCTCCCATGGGGATGGGGGTAGGCAGAGACTAGGCAACGCCAATTACTACGATTCCTACATTGGCCATTTACTTTTAATTTGGCCCTTCTTTAATATATCGCCAATCTGGTCACTATATGTCCGTCTAGGGCGCCCTCTACCGACGGCTACATTTATATCCGCTTTGTATACTTCTTTCATTACTCTACTTTCATCCATCCTTTCTACATGTCCAAACCAGCGTAACATTCCCTTTTCAATCCTTGTCACTACATCATCTTTCAATCTGATAATAAATAATTTGTAACAAATTGCAAATAATGAAATTGTTGTAGTCCAATGTTAGGCCCATTATTATTTGTAACGTCTTCGAAGATAGATAACCCGTCGAGACCCATTTTTCTGCAAATGTAAGTGCTTATTTGAACACAGCTATTTGTTCGAAAAAGAAATGTAACAATGTTGACAAATAAAGGAAGCGATATGTGTGCAAATAGAACGTGAAGATTGTTGACTTTATGGTATAAATTGCAGTACAAATATTAGCTCTTAACATCAAGTCCACTGCGTTTTTCTTTTACACTTTATCAGATAATTTGTTTAATTATAAAATTAAAGTAACTCAAATACAGAGTGTAAATGGAACGGTCCCGAAACGCTGACGAAAAGAAATAGTTTTTACAATTTTAATCGGTTTAGGACTGCCTTGTTGGCCGAGTGGTCGCAAGTGCGACTGCCGGGCAAGGGGTCGATTCCCGGGTCGGGCAAAGTATTACTGGGTTTTTAAAAGTTCTCAGTAGTAGCACGGAGTCTGGAATTGTGCCCGGTATATGGCAATAGGCTCACCCCCCATTACATTGGTCTCATAACATAAATAGTGAAAAGTGGGTGTTACATTGTACAGTGGTATAATGTGCACCTCTGGCCCTCTTCGGGGATAAAGGCGTGATGTTATGTTATAATCGGTTAATTTTCGTGTTATTCATGCAACATCAGCCTTGAGCAGTTGATTACAACTATTATTACGTAAAAGAAACATTTAATCCCTTATTTTTATGATAATAAATCTTGTTTGTACCATCACTTGTCGGCGTTTTTCGCATACATAGGTACGAACATTATTTCTTACCTTCAGTGGAAATACGCCAACCGCTGAACAAAGACCTCCCCTTTAAAGGTCAGGTGTCATAATCTCGATGGGGAATTTTGATAATGCTACTCCATCCCTCGGCAGGTCGCAGTTTTAGAACTATATCTGAAATCACATAAACAAAGCATTAATCAAATTTAATTCATAGGATAATAATGGAATATTCCATATAACTTACGCCACAAATTGAAGTTACATTGTAAAGTACTACATTAATATTAATTTACCGTATATGCCACGGCATATTTATTACATTTACACCTGTACTAAAGCATCTGTGTAAATTGTGTGTAAAAAATGTACCGTGACATACGATGTCCTTTATGAAGTGAGGTGCTTGACTTGTTAAGTTCATGTTGAAGTCGTTCAAATTATTTTTCCAGTTTTAAAATATTCAAATAGCCATAATCGTTTAATTTTATGTAGTCTCCATTCTATGATGATTGAATTGATTGAGCATAAGGTCTAACGGGTTGCCAGGGCCCCGGCAACCGCGGGGCTTCGAGCCGGAGCTCGAAAAGCAGAAGTAGGGACGGGGTGGTTTTTAGTCAATAAAAGTCTGACACGCCCTCTCGCCTAACCCAAGGTGGCAGAAAACATTGTATGGTTTCATCCCCTCAAAAAAGAAACTTGAAACATTGCAAAATAGACCTTTTTTAAACTTTCTCATCATCAATTTACAGATACACTTCACGGTGATATGAAACTGAAGCAGAACGATGCAGAGAGACCAAATAACTTCGTGGCCGTCAACAACACAGTCACCCACTTCGTTAAACTCCATGAGAGTGAACTGGAGTTCTTGAAGAAGAATGCCTCATCGATCCAAACACACTGGTTCATAGACTGCGTCTACATAGACGCTACTTCTGACTTCTCATTAAATTATACGTACGAAGATAATATGGGCAGTCACGAAGTAGAAGCGATAGTCGTTGCTAACAACGAGCCTTTGCCGCCGTTGACGACAACGACTACAACAACTACCACGACTACAACTACTACAACTCCTAAGCCTACAACTGCTGGACCAACTACACCTAAAGCGTCAACTACGACTCAAGTACCTTCAAATGCTTCGTCAACTCCTGCACCAATACCGTCGAATATCACCGATGTTAATAGTACTGCACCCCACAAAGTGTCTAAACGTGCTATATCTAATAGAACTCTAAAAGGCCCAGACGGTTCACCACTCACATGCAACAATACGATCCCAATAAGCAGTGGCTACACCTATGGAAGATATCGGCACAACATATTTGTAAGAGGTAAGCTGATATTTGGTTCATACTTGTTTTCTCATGTTCAATAATTATGTTATAAAAATATAATAATGAAAAAGTTAGGAGTGTTTATTTGGACAATGCAAACTTCTCTTATTACGGAAGATAACATTTATATTTCAGTATACTATACACTTAAAAGGTAAAGAACAGATAACTTGTTATAGTGATTAATTTTCGATATATAGTATCACAATTACTCTAGATCAGGTCCCGATCGTTTTTAAAACTCATCATAACATAACATAACATCCCGCCTTTTATCCCCCAATGGGTAGGCAAAGGTGCACATTACGGCACTTACTACTGCCACTGTGCAATGTAACATCCACTTTTTACTATTTATGTTATGAGTCCCATGTAATAAGGGATGAGCCTATTGCCATATACAGGGCACATTTCCAGACTCCCCAGAAAAAAACCTAGTAATACTTTGCCCGATCCGGGAATTGAATCCGATACTCCTTGCCCGGCGGTCGTACTCAGCCAAAGAGGCAGTCAACGAGAGTAAAACTCTTACGCTTCTCCCTAAAAATTTAATTTTACTATGGGATTTTTTTTTCAAATCTGGCTATTACTTTAAAGCTTAATCAATGCATCCAAATTTATAAAAAATCAAATCTTTCCTCTAAATAAAATAGGTATAGATTACAAATGAGGAAAAATAATTTAAAAACTTTAACTTATTAATTATGCTACCGGCCCATGGCTTACTAATAAAAAAAATATTTTTATCCTGTAACGGATTAGATCCGGTTTTTAGACACTTTTATCGTTTTTAATACTATCGTCATATGATAGTCGTATGCCAGTAGGTATGTACGTCTTAGATTTATTAGGTGGATTACAGCTCAAAAATCTGGAAATAGATCTGGGTTCAATTAAACTAGTTTTACTCCAGTTTTTTCATTAAAGTATGATATCTACTATAGTAGTTGTTGAAGAGCAGATTGATATCGCTCAATATGTAACGTTGATCAACCCTAAATAAAATTAGGAAGTGACAATGAGAAACAATTGTTTTTTTAATAACTAAACAAAGATGTGCGCTGCGTGTTTGCAAAGTGCTATTGTAACAGAATCCACCATAAAATAAATAATTTCGATTTTTGTTTTATAAATATATATCAGTAATAGACTAATTAGTAAATAAATATACATGTACACGGAAGGAAGGTAAAATTTAATGCGGTTTTTGGTTTTCCTGTCGGTTTATAGACGATACTGTGTATTCAATGTATGTTATCAAAAAAGTTATAGCAAAAAATAAAACAGACATGATAAAGGAAATAACAAGAAAAAATACCAGTATTTTAAACACGTCATCGGAAATACCCGAACTTGTTTTATACGGAATACTGTGACGTATATTTGCAATGACGGTATAAATGTTTTAAATCTTAAAGTTTTCAATTAACTCTGTATTAGGTACTGTCCTGTCTACCAAAAACTCCAAAAAAAATAAAACTAAAGACTTACCTCAACTTCATGCTACAAACTGATCATTGTTTATTATCATTAATAAAATATAACAATTATTGAATTTATTTATCCAACTGCGTACATATTTTTCTATATACATATGTAAATATGTCAATTTTTCTAAATTCCAGAGCCGATAACAACAGTGAACATAACTGGATTAAACTGGCTTCAGCACGGGGACCTTTTGAACATGAATGTCAAGTATACAGGCTCCCAACCCTTCAACTACTGCATTCAGTATAAGTTAGGAGAGTACAATATCACTGGAAATGAGACCTGTCCCTCTCCCATGACGACAGTCGCCAATTCCTTCCCCCTAGTCCATTATTTCTCAGACAGTGATAAGCATACAGTTGTAGTTATCATAGAAAATGAAATTGGGAAGTCTGTTGCGAAATCCACTATTAATATTTACAAAGGTTAGTATAAATTGTACTTTGTTACTGCGTTATAAGTCATAGAATTGGTCAAAAGTAATATTTTAATAGGGCCTTTTTAGACTGAACCTTCGGCTCTGTTAAAGTTTTCCTTATTATTAAGACAGAGATTACGTCAATAAACGCCAACCCGGATGCTCTGGTCAAGCGAAAGTTTTTTATATTTATATTTTGCGATATTTACCTAACCCACTTGAGAAACTTGCTTTAATCTACAAACCGTATAACGTAGAAGAACCTCATAGTCCAATTAAAAATGTAATAACTCCATCAGTTATATTATATAGTAAACACATATTTTTTTATTTTCTCATATAAGAAAACAATACTTAGATAAAACGGAGTAAAGTTTGGCAGTCGGAGGTCGTTACGTCACGCTACCCTATAAAATGTGGGCTCGCTGCCATTGCAGCGGTAAGTCCCCTCTTTGAGGAGTGGCTTGAGAGACGCTACGGCGTCCTCACCTACCGCCTGACACAGGTCCTCACCGGACATGGAAGTTTCGGGAGGTACCTGTGTCTGATGGGGCGGGAGGAAACGCCCGGGTGTCATCACTGCGAGGACCGCCCTGAGGACACGGTGGAACATACTGTTGCGGAATGCCCTGCGTGGGCTGAGCACCGCCGTGCCCTCAGGGAAGTGATCGGCGATGGCGACCTCTCGCGTCCGGGCCTAGTGCAGGCCATGATGCGGAGCGAGGGGGACTGGGATGCCGTCTCCTCCTTTTGCGAAGCAGTCATGCTAGCTAAGGAGGAGGCGGGACGAGTGAGGCAGCGAAGCGCTGCCTCCTCGCAACCCAGCCATCGCGAAGTACACACCGGGCGTCGGGGATCGCGGGACGATCTCCGGCCACCGTAAGCGCGGGACTGCGGACGGCGAGCATGGGTGGCTCCCCGTCCGACCAGAAACAGACCCGAGCGTACGGCGCGTAGCGTTCCGCGCGCGCCTCAAAGAGCCATCAGACCACCACAGATGGGGCCCAATAGGGCCGATGCCGATTCGGAGTCGCGGAGAACCTAACGGGTAACCGGGGCTCGACGTGCAGGAGAAGGAACGGGGTGGTTTTTAGTCAGTAAGAGTCTGACACTCCCTTCTGCCTCACCCAGGCGGGAGCAGTCATTCGATGATTTTCCCCCCTTAAAAAAAAACCCTATAAAATGTAGTAAATCGTGACGTCACACGGTATTTCTAATCAATATATCGTCGAAAGTATTTAACTATGTAAGAAAAAAAAAAAAATGTGTCTAATGCTTTAAAATAATCTACCAGACGGATATTAAAATAAAATTTAGAATACTACCCTATTCAATAGTGGACATATCCCAGTTAAAAATTATGGACTAACATTATTATTTTATTTTTCCAGTATCGGTGCACGCGCAGTTGTCCGTCATAGTGATACCTGTGTTCTTCTGTCTCGTCGCCGTCATCCTAGTCGTGTTTGGTATTGCTTATTACCAACATCGATCAAGGTAAGTCATTTATGTTAACTAAGTAATTATGAAAGTAAGACTAATTAAAAATAAAGTAAAGAGATAAAGTTTTGCTTGTGAGCTTGTGCTATACCAGGCATAGATTTTAGAAAATTTTACACCCTATATCGCCTCAAGTTTTAAGTGTTTAAAAAGTAGTTCCAAATCTTAGTTAATAATATTCTCATGCCCGAATACTGAAACGTTACTCAATTTTAAGTTGTGCTTAAGCATAGTTCTGTCTCTACAAATTCTTTGTAAAATAACAGAGACAGCACGATATTTAAGCACGTTCTAAAATTGAGTAACGTTTCAGTATTCCAGCATATATCTCGGTCGAGTAAGGACCGATATTAATGCTAAAATTAAAAAAAAACAATTAAGTACGTACATAGTCTAATGATGCCTCGTTGGCCGAGTGGTCGCAAGTACGACTGCCGGGTAAAGACCCCTTGGTCTCGGGTTCTAATCCCGGGACGGGCATAGTATTGTTAGGTTTAAAAAAATCTCAGTAGTAGCACGGAGTCCGGAACTGTGCCTGGTACATGGCAAAAGGCTCACCCCCTATTACATGGGACTTATAACCTAAATAATGTTTTAAGTATGGGAGAGCCATGCTTCGGCACGAATGGGCCGGCTCGACCGGAGTAATACCACGGCCTCACAGAAAACCCACGTAAAGCAACGCTTGCGTTGTGTTTCGTCGTGTGAGTGAGGTTACTGGAGGCCCAATTACCCTCCCCTTCCCCAATCTCCCAAATTCCTGAATTCCCAACGATCCTCAAACTCCTAATCCCCAAAAGGCCGGTAACGTACTTGTAAATGGGCGACGCCGATTGCTTACCATCAGGTGATCCGTCTGATCATTTACCGGCTTATGCCATAAAAAAAAATTGTACAGTGGTAATAAGTGCCATAATGTGCATCTTTGCCGAATCCTTCGGGGATAAAAGGCGTGGGAATGATAATGATAGTCTAATGACTATTATAACTACATCGTTAAAAACCCAGAGAAATAACAGATTATTACATTTGTACAAGTCAGATTAAAGAAGTTACATTATTAATTGTATATTTATAAGTAGATGTTTCCTTATAATCTTTCCTGTACTATTTAACGATGGAGTTATTAATGCGTAATAGTTAATAAAGAGGATATATTTGATTGTTTGTTTGCCTACATTTAATACGATTATTAATTACACGTTTACTTTATATTGTTGAATACTCTTGAATCTCTATCTCTCTACTCTTGGTCTCGGGTTCGATTCCCGGGTCGGGTAAAGTATTACTGGGTTTTAAAAAAAATCTCAGTAGTAACATGGCGTCTGGGTTATGCTCGGTATATGGCATTAGGTTCACTCCCTATTACATGGGACTCATAATATAAAATATTGAAAAGTGGGTGTTACATTGTACAGTGGCATTATGCCGTAATGTGCACCTCTGCCTACCTCTTCGGGGATAAAAGGCGTGATGTTATGTTATTATTGTAATTTTATATTTTCAAGAAATTCCACTACTAAAGCGAGACTTGTCAAATGTATTGGCCTATTTTATAAATACTTAAGTCAAAACCGATAAAACAGTTCGGTACTGGTTTTCAATTTAAAAACAAAGATAAAATGAGAACTAAATATCTCATACTTACGTCATTCATGGCAATGACTAAGTTATACATTTGTCATTCCTCAAATTGTTATTGTGGTAACCGGTGATCAACCCCTGCTCACATAAACTTGCTTCTTGCTTAATTTATTGCTAGCAAAAAGTGGGGTACACTTTAAATATTTAAAAATGTATAATTCTAAGTTACAATATATTCCATGGCGTTCCAACTTTAAATAACATAATTTCATATCTTCTTAATTCACTGAGATGCACATAATGTAACTTAGGAATTAAAGATGAAATAGAGGGCTTTTTCACTTTTTCTTACTTATATTTGGAAAACTGAATAAAACCGATATTCGGGCCCAAAATCCCATGATACAGTTAAAGTATGTTAACTTAAATTTATTTATTTTTAGCACTTATTTACATGGTGTATCAAAGTAAGGAATACAATAAGTAAATACAACTTAAAATAAACAACTAATGGAGAAAATTAAATAAATGAAAACTAAAAATGATTATTTACAGAGAGCATCAAAAAATTCGTCCGCATCGACGTAGGAAACGATAGGAAAAATAATGAGTTTAAAAAAATTTAGTTAAATTCATTCTATTTCTTTCTTTACAGGCACACGATAGAAGTAGCGGACTTCGACTTCGGCCAGGCGCATCTCGACTACAAAACGTTCACAGAGCGACTTCGAGATAGCTTCAGAAACGCCTTCAATTTCCGCCAGAGGGACGACACGGACCCTCTCACAAATAACACTAGATACGATTCAATGACGTAAATAGTATTTAACTACGCACACGGCAAGAGAATTTAGTTTACAGGCAAATGACTGACATTAACTTAGCAATGGTTAGTATGGTTGGTTTAAAAAATCCTTCTAGTTTACATGGAAACATAATTCAAGACAGTTCTGATGTTGTTTCTTTTATTGATATTTGTAGCTGATATTTTTATGACATTCACTCGTTTTTGTAATAGATAATCTGATGTAACATGAACTAACAGTTATTTTATGCTTCAATAATATGTTAAAAATTGTAAATGGTAATAAAATCATTCCTTTTAGTAATTAAATCGTTGTCAGTTGCCTGTTTATTAAATTCGAATGCTGTATGTATACCAATTATTTAGCGACGGCATTCAATGCAATATAAGTGACAGAAAGAGTGAATTCCAGTAGCCGAGACAAGCATCATTATTGTACTCACTAACGGTCGAAATTAATATAATATCAATCCTAAATCTTTGTATTAAGATTCATATCGGTTTAATTTCAGCCGTAAAGAGAATTGCAACCGAAATAAGTATATCATTTTCGAAATATAATAATGATAGCTTCATAAATACGGTTTTGGAATGTTAAATGGGAATTTTGAAAGTCATGAGTATCTTCGTTAAATAATTTAGTTTTTCGATCGCCAGCTTGATTGCCGATGGAAAACGATACTGAGAATAGAAAGGCGTAAACTGTGGCTTTAGTACGTTTGAAGTATTCGACACGAGACCACGTTCGGCACTCTGTTTGATTGGTTCATTGGTGCCGGCCAATCAGAGCGTCGATAGCCCCCAGAAAGAGTTTCTTGTTTTCTAATAAATTCTTAAGTTACGTTCATCGAATTGATTCAAATTAGTTTAGTTAGAATCGTATATTATTTAATTTTTAAATCAATGATAGGGGATGCGTGAAATCTCTAGTGAACCATTGATCGGTCTACTAGACTAGAGTAAAGGAATGTAAGAGAAATCTGCTAGTCGTTTGTGAAGTATTTTGTCAGTAAAGAGCTCTGTCAACAATATTTCAATTTAATGTAAGTTTTTTAACGTTGGCAATTCTCCATCGGTTGTCAAACTCGATCATTTTATACGTCTGTGTCAAATGTAAAAGTATTAATATATTTATCATGTAAAAATTTAATTATATTCATTCCATTTTTCCTAATTATTTTAAAAATGTAAAATATTAAAGTTTATTTTTAATTTCTGATTAATAGATTGTATCGATTGTTGTAGAAGTTAGGGACAGTTGATTGATAGTACTGAAATGGAATTGTTTTGTATATGAAATTAGATCTTCTATGCTTCTATTCGGGTTGAAATTAGAATGACCTTTTGGGGTAATGACATTTGGAAATGTACGTATTTATGGCTAATAGTATATTGGCTAGCAACATTCATAGTGGCCATTCTCAAAACAAATGAATCTAAGCAATACTAATCTAGCGCCTGTGTCGTTCGTCAAATGAGTTTTGAGTTGACAAATGTTTTGTTTGACTTCTTCAATTAATTATAACTATATCATTTGCATGTTTTTTCTTCTAGTACTCTTCATCTTTAGACATAACGAGCGATAGATTGGAATGCGCTACGTAGCTTTTGTCAAACGGCTTTAAATTGTTGCCAATGTAGAAAAAGATTTGAAAACAAAATATAAAAATGGTAGTTTGGTTTGAACTATGGCCTCTCAACAATTTATTTAACTAAGTATATGTGATCTCTGTGTCCGTCTTGTCTGTTTGTGTCATTTAAATATCGTTTACCAAAAAATCGGTGATTATGTTTTAATTATATATTTTTTTTTCTAACAGACTGACGCGTTTGAAATGATATTCTAATTTTTTAATATATATTTTTGGTTGATTATCGTTTTTAGCTTGTTGCACTAGTTTTTGGTCCTATCTGTAAATACTAAATTAACCAAGAGGAGGGACTTTAATGTATCGTCACGTGTAGGGGGACAGCGGTTCGAAAAAATGCGATAATCTATGAGACAAGCCATGCATTCAAGTGCGAAAATGTCACACTGGGGTGGGCAAAGGCCCGCTTAATTTGACGTGACGTCATAGATACGGTCCCACTATTAACCAACATTCAAGGGAGCATTATTTTCTTCAACAATATTTGTGCAAAGAATAGTGCAATAAGCTAAAGTTATAACTTTTTTTACAATGAAACTAACTGAATCTAGTGCTACGTTAGGACTGACGCACTATCGTGATCAGTCATGGTTTGTGATATATTAGATTTAATCAAATTAGGTCTATAATTAATCGTGTATTTAATAATAATGTATTTGTGCCAAAAGTATATTGTTCTGGAGTTGTTGTTTGATTTTGGTTTCTATTGCAAATAAACTGGAGTTGAAACTTGATTTACTAATATTTGCTGTATGCAATAATTTATTCCTACAAAATTATCTGGTCTATTAAATGAAATTCATGTTTATAGGTATATACTTTTGGCATAAATAATTTAATATTAATTTGTAGTTACAATAAAATGTTATTTAAAAACTTAGCCTTTCATTCCACATCACTATAACCAATATTAAATATTCTAAATACTGAATTTCATACATAAACGTCCAGCCGTGTTGAGTAACAAAAAAAAACCTTATTCATAACTAGCTTTTAGCACGGCTTCGCTCGCGTCACAAAAGAATAAAAAGTAGCCTATGTGACATATATTATACCAATAGACACAGCGCCATCTATACCAATACTTTTGTTTTCCCTCGGGAATATCAATTTTTTCCGGGTTAAAAAGTTCCCTATTATTTAATCCGGACTTCTAACTTTACGTCTGCTAAAATTCACAGCAATCGGTTGAGTAGTTACGGCGTGAAGGTGGAACAAACAAACAAACTCACTTTCAGATTTATAATATTAGTAAGGATAGTAAGGATAAGGATTAGGCAAGTGTTTTGTGCGAATGCCAAACACATGATGCTTCTATGAATCATTAACTAAACTTAAAACATTAAATACAAAAACAATACAAAGAAATACTTGCAATTTAAATTAGGTACAATACTTATTGCGATTTGCGAACAATTCCGAGACTTTAATTCCACACTATTGACTGTACGATTAGTCATCGTCCGCGTCATTACAGACATCAGCAAGCCAACCTGTACAAGCTGGCAATATTTTTCATCGTACTTTCGACTGTATCTCAATAGAATAAAGTTGAAAATGTAAGTTTGAAGTATGGAGTAGGTTGATCTACTGTTGTCGTGATTACAAAGAATATTTTATTTCTATTTGCGCAGTGTTACTGGAATCAATTTTCTGATACACTGTTTAACCTTTCAGTTGTAATGAACTCGTAACAGTTAAACTTAATCGTAGGTAAGCAAACAAAGAGAAATCGTTCTACTGAATTTTATATCAATAACGTTGATACAGTTATTTTTATAGTTGTATAAAGAATGACTTCTACTTAATGCTTATTCATATGAAACATGACGATTAACTACTGACTTTTCCTCAAGTTACGTACTTGCAGGTAAAATAATTATTTATTGTTCGTTTAACTGAAAGAAATGCGCATCTATTTGAATGAATTGTCCTTCCTACTGAAGGTTGCGTTCATGCAGCTGTAGCCAAATGCCATTTAGCGCTTGTCTACATGTAGAATAGAAAACCAAATTATATGGAATTGACGTAACTTTTGACACTTGTCAGTGTCATCCCCATATATTTAGTTTTCTACTCTCTCTGTAGACAAGCGCTAAAGTGGCGTTTGACTAAAGACCCTGATGAGACTTCTAAGAGCTGTCTGTTCGCCTGGTCGCTCCAACCATCGCAATTACTGCCTAGGTCGTAGGTGATGATCAGTCGCGAAATCTTTTATCGTTTCTACTTCGAGCCTAAAAATCCTATTCTAATTGGGTAGGTACTTGCAACTGCCAACTAGTCAAATTCAATACTTTTTTTGAACTGTCAAAAACGACACACTATGGTATTTGTACGAGATTGTGTATTGTGACGTCACGTTTTTTTAGGGTTAAGCAGCATACCTATTTCTTGATTGACTCACAAAGTTCACTTACTTTACTTTACTTTACTTAATTTTGACTCAAGTCATAAAATCAATTAATGAAAGTGTGATTATTTTTTAATATTTCTTTGTATTGAACAGTCGAAATAATTTATTTTTGATTAAGGCAAGTCCTCAATTCGAGTTCGTTCCCATACACTTGAATAGGTCATAATAAGGAAATGTGATATTAACATAATTGACAGTTAGTTCCTACAACGAACAATTTGGAAGTTTACCTATTTAGTTCAATTGATATCGTATTATCGTATCTACCACAGAAATATTAAAAAAGTTCTTTAATATATCTGTGGTGTGGTACCTACCTACGATAATGCAAGCTGTTTTATTAGAACAGGATCAATGAGTTGAATGAACCTGTTTAAGCTATCGGCCCGTGGTTGGTTATCAACGTATTCCCATAGGTCACATACGTGGGTATGTGGCCTACTTATTTCGACAATCCACAACGACACGATTTAATTCACATCAACCTACCCACTATACAACAAAGCAGATCTTATCTGTGTTGTATGTGTGATGAAATATATGACCAAAACATGTTGGACCAAAATAGGTAGAACGAAATATTTTATGTGAACCTATTCGGTGGCACTGACAGGTTAATATTAATCAACCTGCCAGTGTGAATGATACTATTTATGCTTGAAGAGGTAGGTCTATGTATGTCAATGTCCAATCCATGTTAATAATTTCAATTCTCAAAGGAGTAGTCAGTCAAGAGGGATAAATACCTACCGAGACACGTATGAAGAGTGATATCACGACGGTAATAAAAGCTGGCACGGCGTGAAACAACGCTTGTGTTGTGTGTCGACTTGTAAGCGAGGCAACCAGCGACTTGACCAACGAGGCAGTTCATTATGATAAAAAAAATCGCAGTTCTTTTAATCTTGTACAGCGCGGCCTACACCATAATAAAATAACAGTCACATTCTA